CAAATCTCTGGAAGGAAATTCAGATATTTCAACCTATCTTTAATGCTGTTACATCCAATAACACAATGGCTTTTCTAAGTATATGTACCATGATTCAAAGCCGATAATGGTGACCATGATGATGATGATGCCTTCATTGGAAACAAAGGTGCAGGTCCTAATTCGTAGCTCTTAATATTTTAAAATATTTCCTACAGTTTTGCTGCTCATTGATTCCTACATTCTTGGATAGCTTCTGAATCATTGATGATCCAAAACATCCAACTGTTGGGCTAGATCCAATCCAATTGATATCATTGATTTATTCAATCGATTTTGATTATACATTGCATTTATTGTATTCACTGTTGGTTCTCATGGACCTCTCAGTGGCCTTTGATACCTAGACCACAGTATCCTTTTAGGATGCCTCATGGGTATGGGGCTTGGAGGTACTGTTTTGCAGTGGCTCTGGTCCTTCCTGGAGGGTCACTCTCAGAAGATGTTGGGGGACATCGCTCGTCCCCACAACCTTTGTCTTGTGGGATCTCGCTGGGCTCAGTATTGTCCTCCATGTTGTTTAACATCTACATGTTACATACATTAATAAAAATTAATTTAAAAAGGAATAGTATATTGCTACAATAAGTAACTGGAATTCTGGTTAATTTTTTAGTAAGAGGAAAATAAAGTTGTGATTATCAGCCTAGAACGATAGTTATACTAAAAATGTAAAGCCTTCCCAACCATAAAATGCTACACGACGAGGACTTTATGAGCTGTTTACAGAGGGTGCTTGGAAGCTGAGCAGATTATGAGGCATATTTTTCCTGAGTAAGTTTTTCAAAGTTAGTGTATAGTAAGCTTTATTCCACCAGTAACGAATCTTGTTTTGCTCTTGATGAGTGGGGAAAATTGGATCAAAAACCCCTTAATGTTTATAATGTTCTGCTGTTCTTGTTTAACAAAATACAACAGCAATTGATTTCCCCTAAGTGGGGACTTTGTAATATTTCTGATGCATATTTCAATTCCATGTTTAAACATGCAGGACTACTATTAGCCATGTTATTCTTTGGAATCTACAGTAAATATTTCCTTCTGCAGCAACTGTATTTACTATGCAAAGATCCCACAGCACAGATGTAAGCAACAGGAATCTCATATGTGTATAGAAGCAGAAAACCTGCTTCTATAACAGTATACATTTCTACTTGACAATGATGAGTACCAGATCTTTGAGATCTCAGATTATGATTCTCTTTCCCATTTTTTTTCCTTCATGTCAGAAGCGACTTGAGAAACTGCAAGTCGCTTCTGGTGTGAGAGAATTGGCCATCTGCAAGGACGTTGTCCAGGGGACACCCAGATGTTTTACCATTCTGTGGGAGGCTTCTCTCATGTCCCCGCATGAGAAGCTGGAGCTGACAGATGGGAGCTCACCCCGCTCCCCGGATTTGAACTGCTGATCTTTCAGTCAGCAGTCCTGCCGGCACAAGGGTTTAGCCCATTGCAGTACTGAGGGCTACTTTTTCCCATTACAATCTCTATATATCAGCGTTTCCATCCCCTGAAACAATTAGACAGGTTTAGCACTCCATAAGGGTGTGCGAGATGCTTTTGCTAAGAAATTTTACCTGAGTCCGGCAAAAAGGAAACAGGTGTGGTATGATTTCATCTATTTGCCATGCTTTAAATGTGTTTCCAATTGTTTTAAATAAATGTTTTAGTTGAGTTCTTTGTTATGGAGCTTGGATGAAGACGACATCAAAAAGTGTAAAGGTTTCCATACCTTGGTTCAGTCAATAAATCAGAATAGTAGGTTACTGAGGCCTAGGACCTCTCTGGTTGAGAATTATAAAGACCCCTCTAAACTGTAAATCCCAGGATTCAGCAGGAAGCTGCCATAGAATTTAAAGTAGGGTAGCAACGCTTTAACAATGTAGTGTGACAATCTAGGACTTGGAGGGTAGCTATGAAAGAACTAGATAAGATCCTCAAGTGGAAAGATACTGAATATCAAAGTCAAAATTATCCATGTCATAGCATTTCTGACTGTTATTATGAAAGTTGTAGAATGAAGAATATTGATGGGAGTTAACTCATTTGAAATGTGATGGAAGAAAGTTCTCTCACACCAGAAATGACTTGTACTACAGGTATATGGACTCTAGGAAGCCACAGGCCAGAGGCCCCATCTACACTGTCATATAATCAAGTTTCTGAATCCAGTTTATCTGCTTTGAAGTGGAATATATGGTAGTGTAGACTCATATAATCCAAAACAGACAATCTGGATTCAGAGAGTGTATTATATGATAGTGTAGATCCAGCCTGAGTTTGCAAGAATTTTGAAGGGCTATTAATAACAGGGTCTCTTGGAGGATTCTCTTTCATAGGGTCACCATAAATGAAGCTGGTTTCATGGTCATTAAGAATAAAAACTATATATAGTTCTAGTTACAGTCTGTTTTAATCAACACAACGAGCCATTTTGGATCCCATGTTTGGGGAAAGGTTATTTATTTATTTATTTATCGTGTCAGTATCAACCAGACAATTGTATTACATTTTAAACAAATTTTTAACAAACAGACAAAACGGAGTTTGCAAGCTTGGTAGTTGATTAAATGTCCTTTGACCAGTAGCTGGCCACTTGGAGTGCCTCTGGTGTTGCTGCAAGGAGGTCCTCCATTGTGCATGTGGCAGGGCTCAGGTTGCATTGCAGCAGGTGGTCAGTGGTTTGCTCCTCTCCACACTCGCATATTGAGGATTACACTTTGTATTCCCATTTCTTGAGGTTGTTTCTGCATCTTGTGGTGCCAGAGCGCAGTCTGTTCAGCGCCTTCCAAGTCGCCCAGTCCTCTGTGTGCCCAGGGGGGAGTCTCTCATTTGGTATCAGCCGTTGATTGAGGTTCTGGGATTGAGCCTGCCACTTTTGGACTCTCACTTGCTGAGGTGTTCCAGCGAGTGTCTCTGTAGATCTTATAAAACTATTTCTTGATTTCTTGGGGAAAGGTGAAAAAATTAAACAGTGTATTAATATGGCAGACATGCGGCTGGTGCAGTTGGTTGTGCATTAGATCTGACACGGTACTAGCAGAGAGACATGGCCTATGAATGAGAGACATTTATTTGCATCTTGCGAAAAAAGGGAGTCTAGATCCGGGTGGCGCAGTGGGTTAAAGCACTGAGCTGCTGAATTTGTTGACCGAAAAGTCGCAGGTTCAAATCCGGTGAGTGGCGTGAGCTCCTGCTGTCAGTCCCTACCTTTACCTACAACATTCTTCCTGGGTTCTGTACTCTTTTTGTACGCTCCCACATGTAGCCTGTATTTAAAATGATTAAGTTCATTCGGGGAAACTGGGATATTTGCCCAGGGTAACTCATAAGGAATAAATACACTTCCATATGTTTGGAACCAAGTTTATTTTTTTATTATGGTTATTTTTATGTATGCGAAAGTCATTTTTACGTGGGCATATGGGAGCAAGATGAGGAGGAAAATTAAGAGAGGTGGAAGGGAGAATGCAATTTATGCCATTTTATCCACAAGTATAATAACTGCGGATAAAATGGAGCCCCCAGTGGCACAGTGGGTTAACCCGCTGAGCTGATGAATTTACTGACCGAAAGGTCAGTGATTCGAATCTGAGGAGCGGGATGAGTTCCTGCTGTTAGCCCCAGCTTCTGCCAACCTAGCAAATCGAAAACTTCATCCCAAGTATGAAGTTCTCTGGTATAGATTTGGGGATCATTTGTGCTAGCTGATCATCATAAGATCGAAGTGTCCACAGCTTTTCCAATTCATCGACTTCACGCGTCTCTGGCAACATGAAGTGGACCATGGTATGGCCAAAATCTATGCATAACCAGTCATCGGTGTCTTTCCCCTCTATCACATGAGGCTCACAGTCTGTCTTCAAATGTTTGTACATTTTTATCAGGTAATGTGCTATGGAGTTGAGGTGCGTTGGAGAAAGGGGTGGCTCAACCCATTACGCAAAGTAAGCATTTGCAGTATAGTTGATTTTGCCCAGGGGCGCTCTTGAGGAGCTCTTGTGGGAAAATAGACCTTGACATATGCAAGTCGTAGTTACTGGGATGTATAGTTCACCTACAATCAAAGAGCATTCTGAACTCCACCAATGATGGAATTGACAAAACTCCCACGACGAACAGAAAATATATATTAGTGATTGGTTGGGGGGGGGGGTGCCAAAATACTGTTTGCTTACCATTGAAAATTACCTAGGGCCGCCTCTGCTTGGAGATGATCCACTGACAATGACAAAATAATTTCTGGAGGCAATTGGATAGCACAAATGTCTTTGGCATTTTCTTGTCTCAGAATTGAGCCCCCAGTGGTGCAGTGGGTTAAACTGCTGAGCTGCTGAACTTGTTGACCAAAAGGTCACAGGTTCAAATTAGGCTAGCAGCGTGAGCTCCCGCTGTTAGACCCAGCTTCTGCCAACCTAGCAATTCAAAAACATGCAAATATGAGTAGATTAATAGGTACTGCTTCTGCAGGAAGGTAACGGTGCTTGATGCAGTCATGCTAGCCACATGACCTTGGAGGTGTCTATGGACAACGCTAGCTCTTCGGCTTAGAAATGGAGATGAACACCAACCCCCAGAGTCAGACACAACTAGACTTAATGTCAGGGGACAACCTTTACCTATCTATAATAACTGTATACCAGTAGAGAACAGGTCTACTTCACCATGTTTTGTGAGACTCCAGGATGAACATGCACACAACAAGAACAAAGCCACTTCCCCAAAAGTCAAGATCTGCTGAGTTCCCCTGATCAACTAATTCCAAGATCAGGTTTCAACTAATTCCAAGATCAGGAGGGCTTGGCCTCCTTCCTTGGCCCTGAAATTCCCACTTCTAACAGCTTCATCCCCTGCAACTCATCTCAGTGCAAAGACGTTTATGGTTAACCCTCCTCTCTCTGCCTTTGGCTCTGTGGGTGGGAGCAAGGAGAAGGAAGGGTTAAAAGGAGGGTCTTTGGAAATCGGATGCCAGGGATGTCTCCAGAAGGGCTGCGCCTTCGCATTCCCTTCCAGCCTCTCACTTAGGGGTCAGGCGGCTTTTTCTGGGTCGAAAAATCACCCCCAGCAACGTCCTTTCTTTGGATTTGCTTGTGGAATCCGAGAAGAAAGTTCTTCCCAAGCGACTGGGTTTTTGTTCTTGTTTTAGGATCCGTGGAGCCTCCTCTTTGGGTAAGAGATCCTTCCTTCTGTTTCTGCTCGCGGTGAAAGGAATGAATGAACTTCTGAAAGAAAAGTTTCCTCAAAGTGTTTGCTGTGGGGGGGGGGAAAAAAGGCTGTGTGCAATCGGTGTGTGTGTATTAGAAAAGGTTGGACTCTTTAAATGGAATAGGTTTATCAAGTTAGACATTGCTTTTGGAGACTTTTCAGATAAATAATAATAATGAGATCTATATGCTGGATTTATTATTATTATTATTATTATTTACTCTTCAAATGGAAAAGGTTTATCAAGTTAGACATTGCTTTTGGAGACTTTTCAGACTGATAATAATAATAATAATAATAATAATAATAATAATAATAATAATGAGATCTATATGCTGGATTTATTATTATTATTATTTACTCTTCAAATGGAATAGGTTTATCAAGTTAGACATTGCTTTTGGAGACTTTTCAGATTGATAATAATAATAATAATGAGATCTATATGCTGGATATTATTATTATTATTATTATTATTATTATTATTATTATTTATTGGCACAAGCCAGTCAAACTGGTCCCAGTGGTGATTGGCACACTGGGTGCAGTGCCTAAAGACCCTGGCCTGCACTTAAACACAATCGGCGCTGACAAAATTACCATCTGCCAGCTGCAGAAGGCCACCCTACTGGGATCTGCACGCATTATTCGCCGGTACATCACACAGTCCTAGACACTTGGGAAGTGTCTGACATGTGATCCAATACAACAGCCAGCAGAGTAATCTTGTCTGCTGTGGACTCATCTTGTTGTGTTTCAAATAATAATAATGTTAACACTTTATTTGTATTCTGCCTATCTCCCCGAGGGGACTCAGGGCGGATTCCGAAATACAACAGCAAACATTCAATCCCGACATAAAACAAACACTGACATAAAATCCCTGAAAAATCCCACATATGAAAATAACATGAAATCCTAATATCCAATTCAAGCCTAACATCAGTAAATTAAACCTAACATTAAAAAAGTAAACTACACATAGTCAGACAAAATTATATAATAACATAAACTCTAAACAAAACATTCATATTAATTTACAACAGCAATCAAGGGTTCACAAATTGGTGTGGGTTGTTTATGTAGTCAAATGAGGTTATTGGGTTGGCATGGACCAGGAAAACCCAATACAAATACTTCTCACCCAGAGGACAGGCAGGGATCTCTCAACCATGTAATCCAGTGGTTCTCAACCTTCCTAACGCTGCAACCCTCAACAACAGTTCCTCATGTTGTGGTGACCCTCAACCATAAAATTGTTTTCATTCCTACTTCATAACTATAGTTTTGCTACTGTTATGAATCGTAATGTAAATATCCGATATGCAGGATGTGTTTTCATTCATTAAACCAAATTGGGCACAAAACCCTGGGGGGGGGGGGTATGATTTTGTCATTTGGGAGTTGCAGTTGTTGAGATTTATAGTTCACCCACAATCAAATAGCATTCTGAACTCCACCAATGATAGAATTGAACCAAACGTGTTACACAGAATTCCCATGATTAACAGAAAATACTGGAAGGATTTGGTGGACATTGACCTTTAGTTTTGGAGTTGTAGTTCACCTACATCCATAGAGCATTGTGGAGTCAAACAATGATGGATCTCGACCAACCTTGGTATGAATACCAAACTATGCCCAAATGTGAACACTGGTGGAGTTTGGGGAAAATAGACCTTGACATTTGGGAGTTGTAGTTGCTGGGATTTACAGTTCACCTACAATTAAAGAGCATTCTGAACCGCACCAATGATAGAATTGGGCCAAACTTCCCACACAGACCAACAAAAAATACTGTGTTTTCTGATGGTATCGTATGGTGCTTCTGTTACCCTGAGTCCCCCCCCCTTGGGGGTGAGAAGGGTGGGGTATAAATATAGGAAATAAATAAATGGCCTTTGGTGACCAATCTGATGCCCCCTTGTGACCCCCCCCCCCAGGGGTCCCAACCCCCAGGTTGAAAAACACTGATCTAGTCCTCCTCTTCTCCATATGCTAGTGAGCAAAAGTAGGTCTTCAGCTGTTATTTGAAGGAGAGGAAGGAGGGGGCCAGCTTTATTTCTTTATGGGGGGAGTTCCAGACTTGGGGGGTGACCATGGAGAAGTCCCTCACTTGTTTCCACCAACCGTATTTGAGATGGTGGTGGGACCGAGAGCAGGGCCTCCTCCAATGACTGCAGTGCCTGGGGCGGTTTATAAGGGGAGACACTATTGGTCAAATCTAATTCTCCACCATTGGTTTGTTCATCTGTGGTACCTAGTCTGTGTAGAATTGATTGGGGGAACCAGAGAAGTAAATGTAAAATTCAAAACGTTCTGGTCCCAAACATTTCAGATAAGAGATACACAACCTGTTGCAAAAAGATTTGCATACTTATTCGTCTTTTTCTTTTTTTGAAATAGATCTGGAGGCTGGATTCACAGTTCCAAGGAAACATATAAGTAAGAGTGGAAATCTCTCTGTCTCTGTCTCTGTTCTGATCTCTCACTTTTTCCTTTCCCAATCTATTTTCTTTCTGTGCCGTTTCCTGAGGATGGATATGATCTTGCCTTGTTTTTATTTCAGCAGTGTGAGAACAGTGGCCTGTGGACTGCATATGGTCTCTAACCTTTTATATGACCCTGCTTAAGCCTTCATGTTGGAGAACCTAGATATTTCTATGGAGATGTTCTCTCAGATTTAACACAAAATAATTTTATTATTTATAGTTTTCATTTTTAAATGGGACCTGTGCCCTAATGCCAGCAAGTGTGGATGCCTGACTGTATAAACATCGCCCCCAAGAGCCTTTTCAGTTGGAGATTGTGGCATAAATTCACTCCCTTCAATTGTCCTGATTAATCCCCTGCCATCCCACTTTTTCAGCTGCTTTCAAAATTTCTCATTTTCTGTTTCATCCTTCTATTTCCCTTTTTGTCTTCAACTAACTTCAGTTGCTGCAAACTGAGCTCAAAATTCAAAAGTAGTTTGCCTTCAATTAATTCAGGAGTGGGAAGAGTAAGGAAGGGGTATGATTTTGCCCATCCCTCTAGATTCAGGCAAAAGAGACAGTCTCTCCTTGTTTGGGTGTTCTTCCTCACAAATCACTTCTTCTGTCTTGACCACATTCTCATATTGCTTTTTTTGTGAAATGTATACCCCTGAAGTCACTAGATCCTGTTTGATCTTGGAAACTTAGCAGGTTAGCCCAGGTTAGTATTTGTATGGGAGCCTATCAACAAATAATAGGTGCTACATGTTCTTTTCAGAGTCTGGCAAGACCACCTTTGAGTAGTCCTTTCCTTATAAATTTATAGAATTTATAATTTATAATTTATAGAAATGTCACAAGTCAATACTTGAATAGGAGGTATCCACACATGTAAGTGACTTAAATAAAGTAAATTCTAAATTAATCTCTTACAGATGTGACCAGAGATGCTGTTGGGACAGCTCAGCTGGACTTGCTGTTGCTGGCTTGTTGTTTGCTTTTGGCTTCTGACTGGAGAGGGAAGAGATGTTGGCACTGAACTCTGTAGAGGCCTCCCATGTGGCAGGACCAGACAGGATGAGCAACTACCTGGCAGACAACTGTGCCAAGGACCCCGTTGCTCAGGCAGAGCAAATCGCTCCTCTCGTGCCTTCGCCCATATGGGCACCTTTGCTCGAGGACAGCCCCACAGCAAGCTATACCTCTCTGTCCAACAACAGCAGGAGCAATATCCTCTTGTGGGGAGAGGTGTTGAACATGCAGCTCTAGCCATGAAGAACACAAGGGAGAATTGCCCAGGAGGAGGAGACTGCACCCCAAGGGCTCCGAATGGCACTGCCCAGAATTGCAAAGGCTTTGAGTGCAGGCTGGCCCTGCGCATTCGCCAGAAGCCCAGACTAGTTGGTCAAGCTATGCCATGCTCACCAAACCAGGGTGAAGGCTGTCCTGAACCCACACTGGTCAGAGCAGCTGAGATAGCTGCCCAGTTCATTGGGGAAGACCTTGCCTACACAGCATCGGATTTAGGAGGTGGCGCTCTAGGCGTTCAGCTTACTTGTGATGTTAAACCAGGTAGGTGACAGTCTCTGAAAGATTATAGAAGCGTTCTATATTCTTCACAACCTGGAGACGTTATTATTTTTGGATTATGTCACCATACTTGCTGGGGACTGCTGAAAGCTGTAGTCAGGAAACTACTTGTGGTCAAGTCATTTGCTCTGGTCCTTCCAGTGGCTGTAGAATAGCTAGATGAACTGCTAGCTTTAGATAACAAGAAAGTACACTGGAACATATTCACATACAGAAGCAATAAGTCTTTGATGTAAGTTATGGCTGGGAATTAGCCGCCCTGAATCCTCATGGGGAGATGGGGCAGGATATAAAGTTTGATTGAGTTTATAGATAGATTGCTTTAGAATGGGGGGTTGCACTGGAAGAGCAAGTTATGCCTACTTACATAATTATCTTTGAGACTTGATAGATTCAAATCATAGATGGATTCTGGACTTTTAATGGTTATACAGAAGAAGGCATGTCAGCAACACTGACTGTTGCAAACCAGGTAACAAGCAAAACCTGAAATCTCCTCTCCTGTTATCATTCTGACAAACCTATAATGGGTTCCCAGCTGATGAGCCTGGATGACTTTTTGGCAAAGAACCCAGGTTTGCCCCTTGTTTGACAAACAGGGAAAAGGAATGACACATTTACAGGTGGTACCTGCAAATACTGGCCAGTTTCAATCAGGTTCCTCAAAGCTCTAGCTATGCTAAGAGCTAGAAAGGGGATCTTCATAATAATTGATCAGTGACAGCTGTTGCTTCACTCCACCAGCTTGGACTGGGAAAAGGCTTTGGGAAAGGAAATGCAGAAATGCTACAAGCTGTAAATGGAACCTCAAATGATCAGATTAGATCTATGGGCCAGAGATTTCCCACTCCCATATCCATTCAAGGCAGGTTGTGTGTGACTCACAATCAATACTTTGTCTAGCCCAGGGGTCCGCAAACTTTTAAAGCAGAGAGCCAGTACATGGTCCCTCAGACTGTTGAGGGCCAGACTATAATTTGAAAAAATGTTAATGAATTGTCTTGTACGCTGCATATATCTTATTTGTAGTGCAAAAAATAATAATAATGAAAGAGCAATAAAATATTTTAAATGAAGAACAATTTTAATCAATATAAACATATCAGTATTTCAATAGGAAGTGGGGCCTGATTTTGGCTGATGAGATAGTAACGGTAAGTTAATTAAAATTGTTGTTGTGTGCCTTCAAGTAGCTTCAGACTTAGGGTGACTCTAAGTCTAAAGTTTATGGCAGGGGCCAGGTAAATGACTTTGGAGGGCCACATCTGGTCCATGGGCCTTAGTTTGAGCACCGCCAATCTAGCACAACCTGAGTGATGCTACATTGTAGTACTGTGGTCATTTGACAGGAATGTTTTGCTGATCTGGCTGTCCAATTGGAGTGCTAATAAACAAAGCCCAATATAAGGGCTGGCAGTTGATAGCAGCAGGTGTGTGTCTTGCTAACTACCCAGAGATACTTCCAGTGATTGGTGTTTGCAAGCTCTGGATTATGCTAAGCACCTTCATTAGGCGAAGTGCCAGATGAAGATGTTAGTGTTACCAATCTGTGCAAGAATATTGTTTGTTCTCCTAGCTCAGTGGTTCCCAACCTTTGGGCCTCCAGGTGTTTTGGATGTCAGCTCTCACAGTTCCTAACAACTGGTAAGAATTTCTGGTAATTGAAGTCCAAAACACCTGGAGGCTCAAAGGTTGGGAATCACTGGCCTAGCTTGATGGAAGTTGAATATCCTTTTCCTGACTGGTACCAGACTTCATTCATTTCTGTTCTTTGGCTGTTCAGAGCTGAATGATCACATTGGTTATCTAGAGCAGCCTCCTTCAACATGGTACCATCCAAATGTACCAACTACAAGGCCTATAATTTCCCAGCTGATGTAGAGGCTATCAGATTTATAGTACAACACATCAAGATGGCACACAGATGGGAGAGACAGAGATTCTTAGTTTCTAAAAAAATGGTAGCAGTTGTAAGAAAATAAATTAAATGCTTAGTTGTTTGTATTTTAGGAGAAAATGAAGTCCCATCAGAAGATGCTCTTATACTTCACCTCCAGCTTAGCAAAGGTCAAGAGAAATTTGTTGAAGCTCTGAAGAGTCAGCAGACGTTAATCATGGATTTACAGCAAAAACTAATGGAGCAACAGAACGTATTGGCCACTCAGCAGCTGGAAATTATTGAACAACAAAGGAAAATGTATGAGCAAATGGATCTGATCAAGGTCCAGTATGGCATGCTTTTTGACACAGTGAAACAAATGTCATTTCAGGGTTTGCAAGAGGATATTCAGCATTATTTTGAAGCCAATCTCCAAGGCCTCCAGAACCAAGCCAGGAATCACCTCCAGAAATCCTACTCTGTGCATAAAGTAGAAGTTGATGCAAAAGTGATTGATATTGGAGAACCTTTAATGGACTGTGGTCTTTGTGAAAGTGATGAATTTTGCAATTTCCAAAAGACACCCTCACAATGTGAAAAATGCACCTTATGCCCTGCTGGTTTTTTCCAGCTGTCTGAGTGCTCTTCAAATGCTGATCGGATATGCCAGGTAAAGTATTTTCATGCTTTAAACTTCAACAGTAAACAGAGTCACCATCACAGTAGTTAAAGATCAAGACTGTATCTGCCTTTAAGTAATTTATCATAATGGGTTTAGTTGTTTTATTATTTATTCAATTTGTGTTTATTATGATTGAGACCTAGATCTAGATACTTTTCCCCCTCATCCTCTCCACTAATTGGATTTTATTTGCAGAGAAGGGAGAAAATTGGGTAGATGCCTTGCTTTTCGTAACATAATTCCCTTTATATTAAAGTTTTAAGCCTTTTTATAGCTGAAAGAGTACAAATCCTTTAGAATGGGGAGGCCAACTGTGGCCCTCCCTGATATTTCTTTTTATGGTTAACTCTTTTGAGGATTTACCATTACAAAATGTGGTTATATAGTCAACCCTTCACATTCACCAAGGTTAGGGACACAGAACCTTCTTGAAAGCGAATTGCTATTTATTAATTGCGGGGAAAAAATCTCCAGCTATCTCTAAGTCCTCCCATATGGTCAACTGCTGTTGAAAGTTGACAATGGAATTGCTGTAGAGAACCTAGAAATTCCTACAGAGATATTCTCTTTAGGAATTTCTAATTCTCCAGCATGACTGTATGGTGAACTTCCAAAGGAGGTTGACAGTAGAGTCACACTGGAGTGCCTAGAGATTCCCAGAGAGAGCGATTTAATTAAATTCATAAATAATCAAATCTGGAAAAGTAAAACTCATAAATATGGAGAACTGTTTTGTTTGTTGAAAAGAGAGGAAAAAAAGAATAAATTGACAATTTTGTTATGTAGAAAAGGAACTATAGTCAGGAGAAAACCTCAAGGGGACAAAAAAATCTATTACATGATTTGGAAGTTCAGAGTATGTAGAACTTGATCTCTGAAAGGAAAGTTGTAATCACAGTAATAAATTGGAAAAGACATTTATTCATTTGCATTTTGCTACAGGCAAGGGATTAGCACATGACAACAGTGATTTAGGAGCCATGGTGGCGCAATGGGTTAAGCCCTTGTGCCAACTGGACTGCTGACCTGAAGGTGGGTGATTCAAATCCACGAGACGGGGTGAGCTCTTGATCTGTCAGTTCCAGCTTCCCATGCAGGGACATGAGACAAGTCTCCCATAGGATGGTAAAAAATCTGGGTGTCCCCTGGGCAACATCCTTTCAGATGGCCAATTCTCTCACACCAGAAGCGACTTGAAATTTCTCAAGCCAGTTCTGACACAACCCTCCCCCAGTGATTTAATTGATATCTGATGTAAATTTAAGAGTTAGCAATTAGATGTTTATAATCATAGTTTGAATCCCAGAAAAATCCTACAACAGACCTGTTCAGTGTGCATGGCTGTAGTCAAAAAAGTAACTCTTCCAAGCTGTGTTGTAACCTCTGGCTTTGAAGTGGTTATAATTGGTGTACACCTTTTTCTGATTGTGGAGATTAGAATGTTCCCAGAAATGAGTGATTTGGGTTTGAACTTGACTCTTACTATTTTAGGACAGAGATGAGTGCATTGAATCACCAAGCATCTGTGGGGAAAAGATAAAATGCCTGAACACTCCAGGTAAATTGCTATTTTGCTAAGAATGAATGAAATTAGGCAGGTTTACTCACTATGCATTTTAAAGCATGGTGATAGACAGAGAGATGTTGTTATACTCTGCTTATTTTATATAGATGTGCCTTTTTATTAGTCATGATTAATTTGTTAAGATGCCTCAATTGGAGCCAGTATAGTTTGCTATTAAGAGCACATAGATTGGCCTTCTCCAATATGAATTATCTCCTAGATATGTTCCTCTATAATTCACATCATCCCCTAAATAATGGGAATGATTGGAGCTGTAGATGTAAGATGGCATTCTGTTGGTCATGTTCAACTAGATTGGACAAATACTGTCAGTTGCTGAATGGAGTAAACAGTTTTAGGCACGGGTTGTTGTAGGTTTTTTTGGGCTATATGGCCATGTTCTAGAAGCATTCTCTCCTGACATTTCACCTCAGGATGCCTGCCATAGATGCAGATGAAACGTCAGGAGATAATGCTTCTAGTACATGGCCATATAGCCCAAAAAACCTACAACAACCCAGTGATTCCGGCCATGAAAGCCTTCGACAATACAGTTTTAACATGATGATTTAGGTTGCACACATCTGAAAGGCACTATAGGCAATGTGTTTTTGGTTAGTCTGCAACATGTGACTAAAAATGTTGAAACATGTTTTTTAGTGTTATTTTTTAATACTAGTACTTATAAAAACTGTAGATGAAAGGCATCATCTTAGGAGAGATGTTCTGTCTATGAGATAGAATGGGAAAATGCCTATTTTTGATATATGCATGAGTCATCCCAAGAACAAAGATAATGGACTTCAAATGTATTGTTTGTACTCACATGCAGATGTAGTTGACTGTGGAATAAATCAATCAATGAAAGCCCAAACAATTGGGGACACCAGAAGCAGGAAGCCTTGAGCTCTCCCTTGACTATAAGTAGAGGAAGCCTGAGCCTCAACCCCACCATGGTCTAGTAAAATAATCCTTTGTAGATGAGCGTACTCAGGAATTATAAATAAAAAATATGCTTTGCTATGGGAGCGGCAGCTCAACTGCAACACACTCTACATGGGGTTGCCTTTGAAGACTGTTTGGAAGCTTCAGTTGGCCCAATGGGCGGCAGCCACATTACTCACGCAATTCCCCTGTTACATCAGTTCCACTGGCTGCCAGTCTGCTACCAAGCACGACTCAAAGTGCTGGGTTAACCTATAAAGCCCTAAGTGGTTTTGGCCCAGCTTACCTGTCCAAACGTATCTCTTCCTATGAACCACCTCAGAGATTAAGATCACTGGGGAGGCCCTGCTCTCAGTCCCACCTCCCTCGCAAGCGCTACTGGTGGGGACGAGAGACAGGGCTTTCTCAGTGGTGGCCCCTTGGCTATGGAACTCTCTCTCCAGCAACATTAGATCAGCCCCCTCTCTCCTAGCATTCAGAAGAAAAGTAAAAACCTGGTAGAGGAAGGTGAGGTATAAATAGGGTAAATAAATAATAAATAAACAGATTTGTAGAAAGATAGAATATCATGGTTCTTGGGAAATAATTAAACACAGGGTTGTGGCTGAAATGGTCTTTTCTTCCTGTCAACAGGAGGATTCCGGTGTCTTGGGATTGCAGAAAAGGAAGCCGCTTTGGGACTGTGTGGTGAGGAATACTTCTTTAACAAAGAGCTGCAAGAGTGCCAAGCGTGCCTTATATGCGATGCTGGGGTGGTTGCATTTCCTTGCTCCACTGTAAGTGATACCGTTTGTTCAACAGCCAGTGAAAACAAGCTGTCTGAGTCATGGGCTGCAAACCTTGTTTTCCCCTTGACAAAGTCTGGCACATCTCAAGTCTATCCAGGTTTCAGTTTGTCCATCAAGGCAAAACAGGAATGCAACATTGGAACTGTGGAAAGCAACAGCTTAGTATTCAGGCAACATGGCTTAATGTGGGCTGACTTCAATTTCGCTGTGAAACACAGCTGCAGGAATTTCCTCCAACTTTCTCTCAAACTCAACAACAGCGAGGAAGGCTATGAGTTGAGTGGAGTTCGTATCGAACAGCCGGAAGGTAAAATTTTCCAGGGCGTCAGCTTGAGTGGTGCTGCAGAGGTAGAGCCGAGCCAAACTCTCTCGGTCTTTTTGAAGAGCCCTAATCAATTCTGCAACCAGAGCAAAGATTTAAACATTTATGACCTCAACACACCCTTCAGTTTGTTCTGGTTATCACATGATACAGGAGCCGTGGCCATGACTGCGCAGACTAGCACGGCAATGCACTACCAAAACAGCTATCGACCCACCTTTAAATTAGGTTCTGTTTCTGATCCTTACATGCTGACGTTGTCCCATGATGGGAAAGCCATCAAGTTTACTGAAACAGGTGTTGTAAAGTTTGTGTTTCACCAAGCCTTATACTCCATGGGTCAGACCTGTGTCCGTGAAGGTTTTTCCCTAGTTTCTTATCTCAACAGAAATGGCACAAATTCAGAACTGATGACTGTTTATAAGTCTGGTGTCAATTACAGAGACACGTCAATATCTGCCTCTGGGGCCACCAGAGTTGGAGCTGGGGATCTTATTAGTTTTGAGATCCTTTCACCAGCACAATGCAATGTTCGCTATTTTGGAGATGGTTCTGGAATTAGCATGCTTAGCCTCATCTGGATCCCATCTGCAGTGTCTGCTGCTCTTTCAGCCTCAGTTTCCATTAAGGGGCTGCCCACAGGAGCTGTCAGGAACAAGTTACTGGATTTTACACAGGTCTCACCCATTGAGAAGCAGGTCTATCTGATATCTACTGGACAGCATGCTCAGAAATATTTTTTGTTCACTGAAAATGGAGTAGCCAGTGTTGCATTGACTTTAAAGCTGATCCACTCTTGTAACATGCTCCAGGTAACTCTAAACCAGTTCATTGGTGATCATGTGCAACTTCATGCAATTGCCCAGCAAGTTGGAGGTCAAATGCCAGAAGGAAGTCTCTGGACCAGTGTTAGCCTTCACTCTTCTTTTGAAGCTCTCAATGGTACAATGATATCTATTTCTCTTGATTGTGTGCGTGGCAGAATCAACCATATAGCTCATGGACCTGGAACCAGCCTATCTGTCTTATGGATTTCATCCTAGCAAATCCAAGGATGAAACTAGAATGTAACCAGATTAATGCTAGGATTAAGGAACTATGAGGAGCAACATCCAGTAAGACTGTGTTGGATGTTTTCTTTTCTCCAGCTATATTTGGATGGGAGAAAATAGAGAAGACACAACAAGAAGGGTATAATATGGTTGAAGATGGAAGTAGAGTATGACTCCATATGGGGCATATGTTCTTGGAGCCATGAATCTGTGAATACTACTACCACCACCAACACCACCACTACTACTACTAACAACAACAACAAGCTGTGCTGGAGGACAGAGAATATATCTAGAGAGGATATATTTTGTTAGACATGTATAAATGAAGCCACAGTTACTGGTACTATGGATACAGGAATCATTTTAATTTCTTTACTTTCAGTTTTTAACTAATACCCCAGGCAGTGTAACACTTTGACTTTCAGTATGATTTTATTTATTAGTAATATTGGTGGGTTGTGATGGAGGTTTTAGTCCAATATATCTGGAGGGCTGTTACGTTGCAGGAAGGTGACTGTGCAGGTTTTTAAACTTGAACAGTTTGGTTCTTAACCTGTGGGTCCCCAGATATTTTGGCCTTCAACTCCCAGAAATCCCAACAGCTGGTAAACTGGCTATGATTTCTGGGAGTTGCAGGCCAAAACACCTGGGGATCCACAGGTTGAGAACCACTTGATGATCACTAAAGACCCTGCTCCTAGAATCCTAATATGTCAAAGGATTTAACACAAAGCAAAATAAGTTATCAACTTTTAAAAATAAAAATGACTTAAGAAATAAAATAAACATTTCAGGCTGGTAATAGAATAAGTTGAATTTGCTTTTTTGAATGACAGTATTAATGTTGGGAGGACAACATATTTCATAGGAGGAGCCCCCAGTGGCACAGTGGGTTAAAACCTTGTGCTGGCAGGACTGAAGACCGACAGGTTAGAGGTTCGAATTCGGGGAGAGTGTGGATGGGCTCCCTCTGTCAGCTCCAGCTCCCCATGCGGGGACATGAGAGAAGCCTCCCACAAGGATGATAAAACATCTTGGTGTCCTTGCAGACGGCCAATTCTCTCCCACCAGAAGTGACTTGCAGTTTCTCAAGTTGCTCCTGACACACACAAAAAACATATTTCATGCTAAAGGTTGCCATCAAAACACATAGTCTAGAGATTGAGTAGCAACGACTTTCAACTCAAGAAAGGCAAAAGTCTAGCAGTGTAGTTGTTCACAGGTATGTGTGTATGAGCCTTCAGGCCACCTGTTTCCTAGTTTTCTTACTGGTTTTTTTACCTGTTTTCTTACCTGTTTTCTTACTGGTTTTTTTGTGCCTTTAAGTTATTTCTGACTTATGGTGACCCTAAGACAAATTAATGCAGAATTTGTTTAGAGAGGGTTTGTCCTTGCCTTTCTCTGAGGCTGAAAGTGTGTGATTTGCCCAAGATCCATGGCCAAGCAGTAATTTGAACCTTGGTCTCCAGATGTCCAACACTCATGCTCCTAGACCTTTCTGGCTCTCCACCTTTCTATATAAGTGCTTCCAAATGAAAAAGGTAGCACCATTCTGTCAAAGCTGATTCCCTTTTGAAATTTTATTGACTTCAGAGGTAAAACAACTACTGAAAACTTCAAAGAGAATTCGAAGTTCTTGAGTGGATCATTCTGTTCCTTTTCAGAACATTATATCAACTTCACATTTGCAGTGACCTTCAATGTACTATGTGATAATCACATATATGCACTATTACCTCTAATGAGAAAAGGTGCCTTCCTAGTGGGTTTTAAAGGACTATAAACATTTTTAATCTTCAGCTTCCAAATTCTAGAAAAATCCTTCTTTAAAAACAGCTTAAGTAAAATAATGAAAATTTGGTTTATATAACCAGTTGCTGTTTCTTGAAAGTCAAAACATTAATTCAGAGTGTGCACTCTAAATATCTGGTGTTATAAAGAATGTATCTGAATATCTTTTATTACTTTTAATAAATTGTATGTATTTACCAATGTACACAGATTATCTTGATTATCTTCAAGTGCAATCCTATACTCCTTTACCTGGGAATGAGTCCTGTTGAACTGGCTGGGAAGTTGACATCAGTGTGTACAGACATGTGTGCTGTAAGTATTTGAATATAAAGCAGGGCTGAAATTTAGAACCTTCTAGATCAGGCATGGGCAAACTTGGGCCCTCCAGGTGTTTTGGACTTCAAATCCCACAAGTCCTAACAGCCTCAGGACCCTTCATTTTCCCCCTCAGCCGCTTAAGCGGCTGAGGGGGAAAAGGTCCTGAGGCTGTTAGGACTTGTGGGAGTTGGAGTCCAAAACACCTAGAGGGCCAAAGTTTGCCCATGCCTGATCTAGATGTTTCTGAACTCCATCTCCCTGAATTCTGTTTTATTGGAAATGCTGATCAGAGTTGCAGGCCAAAAATTTTGCGGGCCGTAGTTGATCACTCTATTTTAAATAATCCAAATTATGATTAAGATTGTGGTCTATGCTGGCATTTCTGCTCAATACAGTCTATTTTAAAAAGTGTATTAATTTATGTTTTTTTTTATCACCAAATATCATCACAATTATAGCAGTGTACCATTTGAGCTCTTGATGTTACTTTTCAAAAAGTGCATTGAGAGAATTTGATGCGAACAAAGCAATTGAATTTATTTGCTGCCAAATAAGATAGTTGGAGCCCCCGTGGTGCAGTGGGTTAAACCGCTGAGCTGCTGAACTTGCTGACTGAAAGTCTGGTGGTTCAAATTTGGGGGCGGGGGCGGGGTGAGCTCCCACTGTTAGCCCCAGCTTTTGTCAACCTAGCAGTTTGAAAACATGGAAATGTGAGTAGATCAATAGGTACTGCTTCAGCGGGATGGTAACGGTGTTCCATGCAGTCATGCCAGCCACATGACCTTGGAGGTGTCTATGGACAACGCTGGCTCTTCAGCTTAGAAATTAAAATGAGCACCACCCCTCAGAGTCGGACCCACCTAGACATCATGTCAAGGGGAAAACTTTACCTAAGATAGTTATATAAAATTGCCATATTAAATTAGATATTTTATTTTTAAAAGATTATGGTCACAATAGATTTGATAGTAGGAATGTTTTCCTTATATATTTGCTTATAGGAATATTTTGCATACTTGAGCTATTTCTGAATGAAGAATATGAGCAAATACATCTCCGTGCTAGGAAAAGCTGAAATACATGTACTTTAAAATAATCTAACAAGTCCAGAAATCCTCAAGAAGAGTCCAAAAATTCAGGCCGCTATGTTGCGTCATGCATTATTGTTATTGTTTCTTCCTTTTTTTCAGATGTTAAAGATTTTATTTCAAAATTGGGGGGAAAACATCTTTTTGTGGGGATTTTTGGAACTAAAGCAATTCTTCTTATTTTGTGCTAACACTCAAATCATGCGAGATAATGTGCATTGCAGTCCAACAGCCTAAGAAAGACCTATCTTCCCTCCTCCTGCTGTGAAGTCTACTTTCACCTGCTTGCTTCATGATTGGCTCAGTAACGTTATGTATGCATAGAAGCTTTCATGTAATCCCTTCAAAGCAAGTGAGAACTATGGAATGAGTTAAACTCGTAATCACATCGGAATTGCATGACTATGGCCCTCTTGGAGAGGAGCACAAAAGGATGCCCAGGACTATTGATAAATTGAAAGCAGGTGACTTCAGAAGAGGGTTACAGATGCTTTGCATCACACACAAATAAGCTGATGTTCATTTTGGAAGACTAAAACTGGACAAAGCTTTCTGCAGACCCTGTAAAATATTTTGTTTGGTGAAGGAAAGGGCTTGTTGGTTTTTATTAAGAAAGAAGGCAGGAGCGGTAAAGACATTTATCTTGTGCCAAATGGATAAAGGTGCTTGAAGCAATGTGCTTTATTTCATGCTTGAAAGAGCATTAGACTTCTTGGGAGGCCATCTCATTCAGACTTCTAGTTTATTTAATTTGCCAGGTTTTGCTTATCTTACGGTTCCAATGTTTTAATATTTTGTACAAAGTAATTATTTTTTCCATGCCTGCAAGCTGAAACCAAAACACAAAAAAGCACATAAGACACATCTCAGTTGAGACCAAGAAACAAAACCTTTTTTGTGATTTACCATAGCTGTCAGTCAATGATTATTTTAATAATTTACTAAAGCTGTGTTCTTAAATGGGCTTGCTACAGAGTAGGTTCATTGCTTGCAGTGAGACTTCCTTCTGAGTAACCATGCATAAATTCCTTGCAAGAACAAACATCTTTCAGTTAGATTTAAGTTCTGTTTCTTGCTTCAAACATTTCAATTTTATATCAACTATTCATAGATAATTGGTAAAGGTAAAGGTTCCCCTGACATTAACTCTAGTCATGTCTGGGTGATGGTGCTCATCTTTATTTCTAAGCCGAAGAGCTGGTGTTGTCCATAGACACCTCTAAGGTCATGTGGCCGACATGACTGCATCGAGCACCGTTACCTTCCCGCAGAAGCGGTACCTATTGATCGTCTCACATTTCCATGTTTTCGAACTGCTAGGTTGGCAGAAGTTGAGGCTAACAGTGGGAGCTCACCCCGCTCCCCGGATTCGAACCACCAACCTTTAAGTTAGCAAGTTCAGCAGCTCAGCGGTTTAACCTGCTGCACCACCAGGGGGCCCTCATAGATAATAACTTGCATAAAAAGGATTTTATTTTAGAATACTTTCACCAAGTACTTGGTAAGTATTACTTGGCAGCTGCAAACACATCAATGCTATTTGATAATATGGGGTATGATGGTCTGTGCCCAGTGGAAATCATGGATCCAGAGTCCACATCTGGAAGGCTCACTGTAGATGAAAAATGGACATAGTGTTCAAAAAGACCTGTTACGCTCATGTCAGCGTTCCTTACAACTTGTGAAGCATGCAGGCTGAGAGAATATGATGACCAATAGTCCTACTGACTCCGCTATTATTCCACACTGGTTCTGATCGTAGTAGAATGATTACACACAAGATACTCATCTTCTTTTATATTAGTGATCTGCTTTTCCATTTCCTGAGGTAAACCCAAACTAAAGGCTGACTGGGCATATGTGTAGGTGTATAGATCTGCAACAATATTAACACAATTGTATTAAAAATAGACTGCCAACCTAGCAGTTCGAAAACATGCCAATGTGAGTAGATCAATTGGTACTGCTTTGGCAGGAAGGTAATGGCGCTCCATGCAGTCATGTCAGCCACATGACATTGGAGGTGTCTAAGGACAATGTTGGCTCTTCAGCTTAGAAATGGAGATGAGGACCAACCCCCAGAGTTGGACATGACTAGACTTAATGTCAGGGGAAACCTTTACCTTTACCAATTAATAGTTGATATATAATTGAAATTTTTGAAGCAAGAAACAGAGCCTAAAGCTAATTGACAGATGTTTGTTCTTGCAAGGGATTTATGCATGGTTTCTCAGAAGGAAGTCTCACTGCAAGCAATGAACCTACTCTGTAGCAAGCCCATTTAAGAACACAGCTTTAGTAAATTATTAAAATAATCATTGACTGACAGCTATGGTAAATAGCTGTCAGGGGAAAACCTTTACCTATTAAAGTGGAAGGTTGTGTGGTGTAATGATTTTAAGAGCTCGACTAGGATTTTTGGAGACGAGGGTTTGAATCCCTGTTTAGTCATGGAAAACCACTTAGTGAATTTGGGCAACTCATATTCTTCCTACAACAGAGGAAAGGCAGAAGGAATCCACTCTGAACCAATTTTGCAAAGAAAAATATATGATAGCAACAGCAGTTGTAGGGCCCTTTAGATGGGACAAATACCTTGTGGCATTTGCT